AAAAAAGGTATCATGTACAAAGTATACAATACTATGACGAATACCTTTTGTAAGTGGAAAATTACCATGCAGTAGAAGACACAAGGAAAACGCCACAACTTGTCCAGGCCGAAGCGGTACAATGATCTGAAGTTGAGGAAAACATAATTCTCCTCCCTCAAATTCTCCGAGAGTGACCAAACAGCATAAACTATTTGGTTTGTCGTGTTCATCCCAATGGTAATCGCTAGTTGTATTGTAATTAATAGTGATTATTGGGAAGATTCCAAAAGGTTGAGGTGCAAAGGGACCCCACGCCAACTTCTCTAGTTTTTCATATAAATTTCTATGGAATTTTTGTACAAATTCATTAACAGAGGCTGATAATGGGCCAAGATTGCGAAGTAAAGTGTTAACGCATTCTTGATATGCGATATTATGAGAGCTTGCGGTATTTGAACTAGTAAATGGGAGGAGATTATTTCATGTATATGCACTAAAATGTTCTATGAAATTTTTCTAGAATTCATCACTACGATGAGAAGAGTTATTTAGGGTGTAAAAATAATAATAGTTTATAGCATCCATTGCTTGTATAACTGCCCTTAGATTATTTAGTAATGCCAAGTGTACTAAGGTTCTACTTTCTACATCCGTAACACACTCCAAAACGGTTAAATAGCAAAGTTTTACTAATTTTTTAAACAAACAGAGATTACTCCAGACAGATATTATTAAATAAGCTTTCTCTTTTCGAGAAATATATGAGGTGGTTCTTAAAATGTCCTGTGATTCATTGTTTTAAAAATCAACAGCATATTTAAGATCTATCTATTTAGACCGAAGGTGACAGTGCATATCTCTTCTTATAACCGGTTCTTCCATCCCCAACTAGTGACCAAGAGCGACCTATAAACGTTTATTTTTTGCATTATTAGAATAAGAATTGGCATCATCATGCCCCCATTTTAATTATTTCTTTATCTACTAACAGAAGAAAATTAGGCGGAACATCGGACAACTCAATATTATTAGCTGACCTTGCCTCTCGAATTAGCATGTCGACTAAAAGATCTTTGGATGAAATTTCTTCGCAAATTTTGACACCCCCCAATGATATACGATCTGACGGACAAAGAGGGACTCTTTTCCATTTATTTTCAATATAATGAATTTTATTACGCGTACACAATCCCCAAGTCGCATATTGGGTCTGGTGCTAACATAATGAAAAATAAAATTAGATATCTGATGCAATTATCGATATGAATGATTATATAAATCCACACTAGGTTGTATATTTTTTGTGAACTGAACAAACCACCCAAGCCAAAGTACTGAGCCATCAAAATGATGATTATGCCCTTTTGAACACATAACATACAGAAGCCAGAGGCCCTAGTTGCAGAGCAACAATTTTTTGCATAGCTTAAGTATACTCGTAGCAAGTAACTTGGACGATTGATCGATCAACACAAAAATAACCCAGGCATGAGAGAGTAAAACCGGAATCTAAGGCAAAAATGATATATACCCAATTTGGATCAAAAATAATATCACTAGTTATCAACGGTAAAATCGGTCTTAACACATTATAATCCGTCAACAAGGCCGAATTTTGTTCTTTCTCAAGCTTTTGTTTTTTATTATAGCGAGCATGACGTGACAACTTTTTGACTAGTTTCTCTTGGAACGTGTTAATAAGGTTAGGAATTTCATTTTCATTTTTACGCTTCTCGATAGATGCTTGCATTGTTTTTGAATTTTAAGTTATTAACAGATAGAAATATATAGCGAATATAACAACATATAATGAAGTATAAAAAAAATGTCAAATAAATTATAAGTGTCTATGTTGGGAGACACCCCTTTTATTAGAAAATACAATTATAACTAAAGGTATAGTTACTCCAATGCATGTTAATTTATCAATTTTTTTATCACGGCATTGTATGTTGCAAAACATAACTTGATGATTTAACACTTTGCAATTACAGAGTGCACTTTCTAAAAAATAGTAATTTGTCAAAACAATGGTTAGCATGTTGCTTTATTTGACATTATATAATAGACATAATAATTTTCTAACAAACAATTGCGTGTTTACTAAATTCGGCACCACAATTATTGAACATGATAGATCAACCAACAATTACACATTTTCTATATTTGGAATTACATTGTTGCATTGTTAATATGTAACCTGCCAAATTTAGTATAACAAAATTTATATCTTAACTGGATCTACACAAGTATAAGAATTATGCTGTTTTCAAAAAATCTGATATCACATAGATTCGTGATTTTTTTTGGTTCGTCCTTTCTTGTAAACGAATTCTAGCTCGAAAATGAATGTCATTTCACGATATTTAGATCCAATATATAAAAAAATGATACTGTAAATTATGTAATCTGCTTCTTGTACAATAAATTTTACATTTGTTACTTTTCCGAAGCTATAGCGATACAATTCTATTTATTATTCTTAGAAATAAAGATAGAATATACATATATTGTAGAGTAAAATATAAAAATATAGAGCTATTCTCAATATATACCAAATGAATAAAACTGAAAATAAATACTTCCCTTATTGTATTATGCTAGAATCACCTTTTCAACTTTTTTATTATATATTAATGATTTACCAGAATGAGCAATTTTTCCATAACCAGCCTTAGATAATTTAGAAGGATCTGACTGGATAAACTTGCCAAGATCAGTCTGTTCTTGTTCACCAACCATTTTTCTATCAATGTAAAGACGGGTCTGGGGGAAAATACTACAATCAATAGTAATAGAAACTTGATGGTCGCAACAAACTTTCATGTTAACGTTAGTGAAAATAAATGATGCATCCATTTTTGTCATTTCCTGTTGAGCACGTCGTACACAAGGAGATAATCGACTAGTTCTAAAATTATAAATATTCAGGCAAGTATTACTATTGATTGGTTTGGATTGAAACCCATTGAATGTTGGGTCCTCCATATAAATATCAGCCTGTTCATATTCAACAGGAGAAGTTTGATAAAGCCAACGGGTTTCCCAAGATGCTTGAGGAATTTTTGTATAGCCATAAGGATTGCGTTCAGCATCGGCGACTTTTTCTAGATTTTTAGTTGGATTTTCTTGATTACAATAGTCAGGATCTCGAGGATTAGCCGAGACAAGATAACCTTTAGCATCACATTTAACGTTAAAACTGGGAATATGGATGTATCACCTGTATTCTTTGCTTCTGGTCCATTTATCAAAGTCTCCACCTATACCGTTCATGTTTGAAAAATTGGTGGGTGGATCATTATTTGCCGAATTACTTAATCCTCACTATGTATGATATAATCTGGTATTAGTTAATTTGAATAACGATAAGCAATACAATAATACACTGATATCTGCAAATATATATGCTTTATTTTAACACAACGGGTACGTATAGCACAAGTTTGATCTCTATTTTTTTAAACCGAATATTCGAAATCCAATGAACATTTGTATTACAAATTTAGTATAACGGATCTTATATTTCGCCTATTCTAAACAGTACTTCAACAAGTCGCACAAAATTAGATATAAGGTTTTGTAATACTCTCCTGCAGAATCATTTCTCACAGTCGATTTTTTGATTTATAATGAATATTATGAATTATATCTAGACTATTTTCTTATTATATAAGATCCCGCGACAAGAATGAGACTTAAAAAGGTTATAAGAGTAATACATATAATGTTCTTAATCAGTAGTTTGGTCCAAATTCATATGTTGCAGGAACTTGGAATTCTCAGATCGTCAGATCTAAACCCACCTTAAGCAATTGTCGAATCTAAGGGGTTAATTTTACCAGAAAAATAACAAAATAGATTAGTGTTTGGAACTTATAACCGAGTGGAGTTGCTTGTTAAGTGTGGTCTAGTATTTCGTTAGGGTAACATAATTGCTAAGCTTGTAATTTTTCTTCTAGCAGGTTCTCTAGATCTAACGAATGTGAAGTATAAAAATAAGCATGTTTCCACCCATAAGATAAGTTAACAAAAACGTTATTTTTTGCTCATATATTTTTTTACTTGATTTACTTGCCCGTAATTTATTTTTAAAGTAATTTGCTATTTTATTTAACAGAGACTATAAAAACGAATTTTTTCTTACTATGATTTTTTGTATTTAGGAACAAAAAATGAGTAGTAACGACACTACCACCCTCACGACTAATCGAGGTAGGACCATCCATGTTACACAGATGATTCAATTGATAAAAAAATTTTTTTTATACGTTTTACAATACTTTTTTCGGAAGCTCGAGTACTTTAACTCCTTGGTTAAGGGGATAAAACATACTAAGTAAACTTAAAGTTTTCGCTCTGCTCTACAACATATTCGCTGAATCTATCTGAATCCATCAACTTTTATATTACACTTCACCTGTTGAAGTTATAAGTAATTAACAATCACTACGTCGACAAAATCTCATTTTAAACAAGAAAAAAGGTAAAAAAAACTCAATATAGTGATTAATAATGATAGTATAGAAGAAAAAAATTAGTTTCTGTTTTTTTTTTTTTATTATATGTGTTGCATAGAAATCTTTTAGAAAATTAAAAGTATACGAATAATATCAGTCGAGGAAATTTCCAAATTTGGCAGATCACATTTCGTATAACAGATCGTATTCTAGACTAATTCTAGAATGATCTCTAGATTTTTATTGGCTCGCGGTCATATTTTTTGGCTGAAAGTTTGTGACCGTTCATGATATCTGACCATAACTAATAATAATATACATAAAAAATAGAAGATCTAAAGTTTTATAATCAATTAAAAATCAACTATAATTAATTTTTTCCGTCAAAGTAAATGAGAGCTAGAAAAAAGATAAAATTTCGCTAGTTTTTAACCTTATACCACTCTGTTGATTGAGTTTCTAGTTAAATTCAGAACTTACAATGATTTTTATACTTATAGTATTCCATATATATATGTACTAACATTCGACTTTCTACTTTAGAGTTACTTCTTTTATGAGTATACTATATGCTATTAGGACAAGATCTATTTGGCTATTTAATTGATAACTAAAAGTAGATATAACCGTGTAGTATAAGATAAAGAGTGTTTTTTTTTTGCGTAAACCACATGAATATTCTAACACTAATAATTTTTAATTCAGTATAAAATATTCTGTAGTATTTTGATTATTATTTATTATATTTATTATACATTTCGATATTTCAATTCGATATATAAAAAATAAGCTGATTCAATACATCTCAATCGATTTTGATTCAATGCTACTCAATTTTACACCTACGTCACTTCAAATCTGATGCACGACTCTAGTAAGTTTATTTGCATATATATGTTGCAAGTGGGAACAGAATTCAAGTAGATTTGGAATTTTTTTGTTAAATTAGGGTTAGGGTATGATGAAATCAATTCCGTTTCCACTTACAATATATATATAATAACCCCGTTGTACTGATAAATTCATCAGCTATAAATTCTAAACATAATTTTTTACATTTAGCAAAAGGCCAAAATCAAACAGACAACCATCTGAAGGCTTTTGTTCAGCAGATATTTTCATGGTGATGGTGTAAAAACCATAAATATCTACAGCTCATG